ATATTCACCTGAACCATTAGCAGAGTGATAAATCACTCCCAAAGTTGCACTTAGAGTTTTGATATATCAAGACAAAACAGTGACGAGTGAATTAGGTAAAGTTTTAGCTTTAATGAATTATTTAAAATATATTTTATACAAATGTTTAATAAAGCATACATACTTAGCCTAACCTAGGGTTTTAAAAAAAAAAAAATAGTAATATAGTAAAAATTTTATTTTGTAGTCATTTTTATATATAAATTTTATATAATAAAATTTATAAAAAAATTTTTTGTTATTTTTTTAATGTCAAATTAATTTTTTGAAATAAAGTTATTACTTAATTATTATTAAAACTTAAATGTTTCTTAAATTAAATTATAAATTATATATTTAAAAATTTTATTTGATTAAATAATTATTTATTAAATTATAATAAAAAATAAAAGGACAAAAACTAGATATTATCAACTTAATAAATTATTGTAAAAATAAATAAATAAATAATAAATAGATATTGATATATTTTCTTTATTAACCTGCTAAAAATAATGTTTTTATTAAAGAAATCTTTATTTAAATTAAATATGGAACAAAAATCATTAAATCATTTCAAAATTATATCTAAAGTTTAACTAAAATAAATATATTGAATAATGCATACTTCAAAAAACTAAAATTTTTTGCAGAATTTGTATTCTTGAATCAAACTTTTGTAATATAAGACCGGTTAATTTGATGTTTGTGATACTGCAGGCATTCACTCATTCACCAATGAGAACATGATAAAAGGAAAAATTCATTCAGTCGCGCCCAAATGTTTATGCTTGCAATTAATCGCACATTTATATTCCTTAATTTGGATTTATGTGCACTAAACATGATCACGTATAAATTCGTCTCACAAAGTAATGTGGAAGAGCTTATTTTTTTTCTCACATTCCAACTTTTCCAGCGAACAAAGAGTTAAATTTCACAATGAACGATTTTTTATCCCACCCGACCAATATACCGGCGAACAATATGGAAGAAGAAAATAAAATACTTTGTTATCTCGTCTCCGAGTTCAAAAAACCTTTTAATTTCACTTATCTGAAAGGTCGTATGGAAGAACAAACAGAAACTTTACCTTGGGATTATGAGCGCACTGTTAAGAGTCTGTTACCGCAGTGCTCTAGTCTTTTGGACATGGGAACTGGCGAAGGTGAATTTCTCGCTTCTTTAGGTCCGCTACCTGAAGATACGTGTGCGACTGAAGGTTGGGCTCCAAACATTGATATTGCAAGGAAACGATTAAAGCCTCTTGGAGTAACCGTTACTGGTGAGCCATTCACATTTCAAGTTGTTGACCTATTACTGATTTTGTAATTAATTCTATTTTCATGATTAGCCATCACCGATAATGATGTTCGGCTTCCTCTAAATGACAATAGATTTGACTTGATAATTAATCACCACGAACCCTATATCGCCTATGAAGTTAATCGGCTTCTTAAGAATGGCGGATTATTTCTAACTCAGCAAACTGGTGAAGACGAAAACACTGAGCTGAATAGACTTTTGGGTGTACCAGAAACTCTTGGATACCGGGAGTGGCATTGTGAACAGGCGTGTGTCGAGTTAGCCACTGCCGGATTAACTATACTACAAAAGAAAGAGGCATTCATAGAGACCAAGTTCTATGATGTTGGAGCAATTGTCCACTATTTAAAAGCGAATCCGTGGCAAGTTGAAGATTTTTCGGTAGAAAAATATGCGGACCAACTCATTCATTTACACCATTTAATTAAAGAAGATGGCTACCTTTCGATTAAAAGTCAACGATTTTTTATCATTGCAAAAAAATGCTAGGCAATTGTACGCAAAAGTATATATCTTTTACGGAAATTTTAACGATTTATCCGTTTGAACATTGTTTTGTCTACAAAAGACTTTCATTTTTAGAAATTTTCATTCAACGAGTGTCAGGAATTAAAATACTGTATTCACAACATAAAATTATTAAACCCTTGATGATCTGCTTAACCCATTATGGTATAGTGTTCGTTGCCGCGCCGCATAATAATTACTTCAACAATATAATATAATTCTTATTTTTAATTGCAATTTTAATATAATAGTTTTAATTTTATTTATTATATTAATAAAAAAAAGAGTTTATTAAAATCTTATTATTTTAAAATTCTAATTTAATTTTTTTTTTTTTTTTGCAATAATTTATTAAGTCAGACTAGTAATATGTATTTATTATATCAGTAAACTACTTAATACAAAAATATTTTAGTATTATATATCTGTAAAATCTAAGTTAAATTAAATCTTTTAATAACAAACTTGTTTCAAACTGTCTTTAAATTTAATCATAAAAATAATATAATATTTTATGAATACTTTAAATGAATTCCTTTCTAATAACTCATATTATTGTCAATTAATTATCAAAGTTGATCATTTCAATAATATTAAATAAAATAAAATAAAAAATTATATTAAAAAAATATATATATTTATATACAATATATAATTGATTTTTTTAAAAAATTCACTATCAGGTTAGTTATACAGTATATGCTTTATTAAACATAATGTAGGCTATACTATTTATAGTTTCACCAAAGTTAAAGTATTAACTAACTCACTTATCTTAATTTATTTTCAAACTTTAAATATAACTTTGGGAATGATTTGTTACTTCATTTATAGTTTGAATTAATATCTACTATAAATATTATTGTTTACAATTTTTTTTTTTTTAACCCTCTGTCAGATTAGTTAAGTATGCTTTATTAAACATTTATAAGCTATACATATTAAATGAAACGTTAAAGCTAAATCTCTAATTAACTCATTCGTTTTGGTTATATTACCTCTCTAAGTGCAACTTTGGGAGTGATTTATCACTCCATTAGAGGTTCAGGTGAAGACC